CCAATTCAAAATAAATGTGAAACAAGAATTTTAACAATGTATTTGTATTATAAATGCTCCACACATTAAAATTATAGGAAGAAATTCAAACTTAAAAAAGTTTCCTTTAAGTATTGAAGTCAATAAAAATTATTATTGGATTTATTAGAAACAGGTTAGCAATGAATTTTTTTAAAAAATCGGAAACGTTTAAAAAATAAAATTACACTGATAGGAAAACAAATTCAAACTTAATTCAAATTAACTTCCAAAGAATGCTATAAGATTTATATTATGCTATAAAATGTATTGCAATAAATAAATATAAAAAAATTTGGGAAATTTTTAAATCTTTTTAATAAGTAGAAATAAAACCAAATTTGAGCAAAATTTATTTCGGTATTAGAAAGGTGTTCCATAAAGAAAGGTAATAGAGACTTAGGTCAGAATCATTCCTAAATCTATGGTTTGATTTTTCTTTACAGCTTCAAAAAATCTGTTTTAAATTTATGGGGAAATAAGTAAAACAGTTATAGAAAAAACAGAATGAAATATAAATAAAAAAATAATTAAAAAAAAACTTAAAATTTTTTTTTATCTCCCAACAGTCTGTAAATTAACATATTTTCTTCAGTTGTAAATATTAAACTAAGATTTTGCAATGAGTCAGGCAAACAGAGAAAATTTTCTAATCTACCCGATATATTTCAGGTTTATAAGTATCAGCCTCAATACTCATTAGAGAATCTTTAACATACTGGGCTTATTAAAAACTGAAGTTAATCAGACTAATTGCAATAAGCCTAAAAAGTGACAGGCTGATTAAAAAAAATATTGGAGATTTTTGATGAATTGTAAAATAACTGTGGCAACTCACAAAACATCACTTTTTTAAATTAACCTAAAATATGCGCATTTGAATATTGAGAAAAACAACTAATTTAGCATTATAGGATGTTAATTATTTTAGCATTAACTATTAAAAAGTGAACTAATAAAGAATGTAAAACTTATCAGGAAAAAAAAAAGCTAACCTGTTTCATACCACAGACTATGTATTTCAAAATAAAAATAATAATAAATTTTAATTGAAGAGAACACTTTTGGAATATCACAACCTCATTAAAAATATACAAAAATCACTAAACAGTCTTTATACAATTTATACATTCATTCAAGTATTGACTTTTACTCACAATATATTTCTACATGTCAGTATATTTGCTATAATTATACATATCTATCTGAACAGGTAATATTACGCATCCAACTTTTACACTTCTTGCCTATGCGTAGTTTAGCTCAAGTATTGAAATCTTTCAAAATCATCTCAAAGAAAGATTGTTAAGTTTTATTGTTTTGCTAAAACTGAACAGGTTTAGAAATAGTGTATATCAGGGTACTACAAATCCTAGTCGCCACAACTCAAGAAAATCGCAGATGGGGATTAATAATTTTGTAAAATTTAATCTATTTCTTATTTTAACCTAAAAATTTGAATGTTTTTGGGAGGATGAAAGGTCTTAGATTAACATCGGACCAGAACATTATTAAAATCTGCTTATTTAATAATTAACTCAGATGTTTAAATCGCCTTAATTAAATTCTGCATTTCTTTCAATGTATTAGTTACATGTTATGATGAATGTTTTGCCGATATATTATGCAATTTTTGTTTGTTTAATTGTCTGTTTATTGAAATTGAATACCTTGTTAGTGGACCACTTTAGATAACATAAAATTATGAAAATTGTTTTAATTAATTTCTTTAGAGCAAAAATGTAGTAGATAATTACATATATAATTTTTTCATTATACAATTTATCTTTGAATTACCAAACAAATTTGTGAAAAATATATAAAAAGAATAATTAGAAACTAATAATTACTAACTAATTAGAAAAGTCTACAGTTTTAGAAAAATTCAATAAAATAATAGGGAAATTTTAACATATTTAAGTAGCAAAAACTTTTTTTTTAAAAAATGAATCAGAGCTTCTAGATCGATGCAGCTTACACAAAAGTTTGGCACAACCAAATGCATTGTTTAGAGATTAAATTGTAAGCAGTGTGCATTTCACCATCCCATAGCTATAAAGAACTAGTAAACTTAGGCAGAAATTTTAATAGTAATGCACTAAATACAAAAAGTAAAAAAATAGAAGTAAAAATAAATACTTAATTGCATAAAAAAAAGGAAAAATAATTTTAACCCTAGTAGTGGAAGAACAAAATAATTTTTAAATATTAGTGATTTAGAGCAGAGTATTATTAAGCTTAGAAACACAATCAAGAGATGTTAGTTCATTTTTTCGCTGGTGGAAGAATAGTAAATATAAATAACTACATAAATAAATTATTGGCTATGTTAATATACATAGAATCTGCATACATCAGTAGTGAGTACGACATTACATCGGAAGACCTAATTAGTTAAATAATATTTTAATTCTGTTATTACACTAGAACTTTGTATATATTTACACACACATAGTACTAGCAATATCGATTTTAATATAAAAAATATAGATTTAAAAATGTCTAATTATCATACAGACTAGGACATCTATTTTGTTTTGTAAGAATAGAGGACAATTTTCTAACCTGTTCAGTTGTTATGAAATATATTTGCTACAAAATATGAACACTTTCTTTTGTTATTAAAACAGCATATTCTATAAATGAACAACTTAAAAGATAAGACAATGCTAAACTAAAAATATTGATTTTTTGGTAAATTACTTTTATGCAATTTTTAAAAATTATATAAAATCTAATCATTTTTAGAAATGATTACATTTAAAAAAAATTTCAGGTTAGCACAACATGCCAATCTTTTAAAAATATAATAAAAATAAATAAAAAGTATATTATTTTCATATTACAGTAGCACCTCGATTACTCAAACCACTTTTACTCCAATATTTCGGTTAACTGAAGTCGATTTCAATTTTATTTTATTTAAAATGAAAAATTGGTTAAATCAACTAAAGGACTATTTTATTGATGGTCCTTTAAACTTATCTTTATACAGCAAGATTACATAAGTGGTTAATTTCAAGCGGGTCAAAAAAAAAAGTTTTATTAGCGGTAGAAGTTTGTGTGGTTTGCTAAAGAAATTTTAAATTATAATTCCATTAACTCACTAATCTTTCCACTATTACTGGTGTAAAATGACTGCATAAAATTGATAAATTCACTAGAATAACAAATAAATGTCTTAATAGTTGGTGGAGCTAGTTGCTTTGGTTTGGCGAAATAAATCTGAAAGGTGTCCTTTTTGTTGATTCACTATTTCTAGCATAGTTAAGTTTGGCCGTTCTGACTCCATAAAAATTATATAATTTAATAGGGAAAGAAAATATCAATTTAAAAAAAAACTTGATTTTATTAATCAAATAACTAAAATATTATTTATGAAAATAAGAAAGAAATATTAATGAAAATAATAATGTAAGAAAACTAATTTGCTTATTTCGAGTGAACAAAGGTGGTTCAGTCAGATATTCAAGGTCCTACTGTAATATTGTTAATATACTACTCTATAAAGTTAATTAAAGCACCTATTACAAATTCAGAGATTTAAAAAAAAAATTCCAAACTTTTAAAATAAGAGTGCTAAGATTGTATACACGAAATCTTTAACTTTTGCTTATGACTGGTAATAAGGGCTTGACTTCATTAATATTTTCATCATGCTAAGCATCGTTATCAATAGGTTAATTGTCTTATCTTTCATTGATGTAGTTTTATATTAAATGAAATTTAGGAACATTAGTCCCATGAAAAATTTATAAATACATCACAGTTGACACTGCACTTAATATGAGGGAAAGAAATTTTTTTTTACTTCTTTGCTTTGAGCACTAACACAAGAAAATAAAACACTTGCATAAGTCTATAGCATAAAAACAAATGATCATTTTGCATATGTTTAACTTCACAATCCTAACAGTCAACTTTTCACTACAACGACAATTGATATTTTTTGGCAACCTATTATTCAACTATTTCACAATCCCAACACTAAAACAATTTTTCCTGATAAAAAATATATCACCAGAAAAAATATTTTCTGAAATCAACAACTGTTAAGGTACTAAGACTTGAATTTCACAAGGAATGATTGGTTCAGTATGTATTTTATTACACAATAAAATTATTTTCAAAAGTATTTTTGGCACATAAGATATTACATACATTAGAAGTTTGATTCTATTAAGTAGAGAATGTGGAGCACAAGATATAATGCGGGAAACACAGGAATGCCAACTCAAAGAAGACTAAAATTTATTAGGAAAAAAGATTGAAATGAGTTGGAAAAAAAATATTTGGTGAAAAATTCACGAAGTTAAAAGGTTGGCTGTAATGAATTTAATTGGCAATTAAGTTTAAGAATTAAAGAAATAAAATACTTAACACAATTTTCTTGAGTATTAAGTTTGCAGATTCTATCAAAAAGTATTCAATTGTATTTTACAATACAAGATTATGAGATTACACGGGAAAGTCAATGATTGTTTTTATGGAAAAAATTATTGCAAATTTCTGATTTAAGTTATATAATCCCACAAAATTAATTAAAAAAATGAATTAAATTTTTACTAATATAAAAAAAACATACCAAAATGGAAAAAAAATGTTTTTCTTTTTTTCCCACACACAGAATTTTTGAAATTCTTAAAGTCAATAAAATAAAAACTAAACACTAATAATAATAAATTTTAGGTGAATGAAATATTTTCCATTGAATGGACTTGAATAGCAATTGTTTTTATACTAATCATCAAATATTTAAATAAAAAATGTTGAACAGAAACAGATATTTAATTTTAGATGGTAGTAACATATTTTTAAATTTAAAAATACAGCAACCTAAATAAAATAAAAAATTTAAAAAAATCAGAATACTAAAAAAAAAAGATATTACTAAGAATGAAAATTTCTTTTTTATGATTTAAATACACAAGGAAGCAGTAAATATTGTATAAAAAAAAAAAAGATTCTGATAGGGACTTTTATCAGTAACTTGCTCATTTTAAGAAATTTTCTAAAATGTACAAAAATCAGGAGAATTTTAATTGGACCATGAGAATCTGGCAGAAAGCTAGTAGTCTACTGGAAAAACCAGAAGAGTTGGCAGTGAGGTGAATATTCATGGATAACACAGGCATTTTTGGTCAAAATTAAAAAAAGTACCATAAATAAACAGAGTTGGCATTCCTGACGGAACACTTCAAAGCATATCAGAACTTAAATCTTAAATTAAATAAATGAAAGCAATAAAAAGAAAGGTTTCTTTTCATCGCCACTGGCTTGTAAATACAATATACATTGGAAACCTTAACAAAAAAAGAAAAAAAAATCAATAAATAAATTTAACAATAAGTTGTTTTTTTCCCCCTAAGGAAATACTGTAAAGCATAGCCAAAGGAACCGGTCTCAAATTTTCATACATGTGAAAAGAGAGATAAATTATTTCAGTATTCAATCTTTCCAAAGTCAAAACAAAGCTAAATTAATTTAAATAACTGCTAGGATTTACAATGATAACTATTGTCATATTCCATTACTAATTTTTTGATATGTGAGAGCTTGGTATGCAAATAATTTAACTTTTCTTCAGATTTTTTATAGTTTTCATCTTCATGATAAGCTCTATATTGCTCATATATTTTGGAACTGATATTCTAAAAAGAAAAATAAATACAATTATTATAAAATGCATGTTTAATATTCACAAAAATTGCTTTATATTCACATTTTTTAACTTTCAAACTAAGAAAAAGGTGTCATCGTGCTCATATACTTACGCAAAAAAAATTTGTTTCGATAAATAGAAAAATATTTAGACCTTCGGGAATGTTTATTCCTTGAATAAAAAAACTTCACTTTTTTTAAAAGCAAAAATATAAAGTAAAATTTTATTTTACAAGTTTAATAATGGGACTGTAAAATACAAGTAAAAATATTTATAAATGAAATTCAACAGTTAGGTTTCTTGGAATCTATATGTAAACCTTACTTTTCGTTAATAAATATCCATATTTTCAACATAAACTTTAGGTTAAGTAATTATGGAGATTCCAGAATTTTAGTTTTATAGAGGTTTCATGTTCCAAATTTAACATTTTTAAACTTGAAAAGTAAAATTTATATAAAAATTATGCATATTTACTAGTTTATTACTCAAAAAATTTTTTTACCCAAAAAAATTAAACTAAGCTCATTCCTACCTACATATGTAACTGTGACAACTCTAAATCAATTAGAAATTTTGAAAAAAGATTTTTCTTGGGGGATAATCTCAAGTGTGTGAAATACAATAAGACAGTGGCATAGTTATGCAATTTTCAGAGGGGGGAGACATCAAAAGGTTCGGTAGGGCGATGGGCCCATGTCCGAGAGTTCGAACCCTGCCGGCCGAAGATAGTAAAGTGACTGATGCACATTAAATCTGCCGAGTCGCTAAAGTCCTCCATATTCTCACAACAAATCAATACCTCTGGGGGTACTGGATTGGAGATCGAAGGTAAAAAATTACGATCTGTGGATGAATAAATGGGTTCGCCATATAAACGGGTGCGTCGTATGGTGTGGAAGAAGTCGAATTCTTGGCCATAGATGACGCCACTGAAAAACAAGAAACGCACACTGTCTTAAATTTGCTCGGTTTCACCAAGCAGGCTTGCCCGTGTGGCAAGTGGCATTAGAAACAACAACAACTTAAAGAGGACAAATATATTGAAATTTTTTTTAAACATTAGTAACAGTCATTATAAAGTTTACATTTCTTTATAAGAACAAGAGGTGACTCTTCAGTTCGATAAATATCGGAAAATAAATTAGTTTAAAATTCAAAATTGTTTAACATTTGAAAACTACACTGTTACCAAGAAATAAATAGCAATCTATGTTTAAATCATTCTATTTTGAAATTCAAACTATAATAGAAGGTAGGAAAACTGGTACTGGATTTGGTTTTTAATTCTATTGAAAAAGTACACTTGCCACCAGAAAAGAATTTGATTACTTAATTCAAATTTTATAAAAATAAATAAATAAATAAATTTTTTCATTACATTTTGATTTCAAAGTAATGGTTTTGAACAAAATATAAACATTAAAATTGCAAATTAAATTATAAATTTGTACAGATAGAGGAGAGAAACATAGATCATAAACATATTTTTTCATGCATTATGATGTTCAATGCAGAACTTATTGCAGTTAAGCAATTATTATGCAGAAAACATATACGATAATAACAGATAATATATAAAATAAAGTAATATATTTGCATTGCATAGTAACTAAATATACTTACCATGTATTCTTCTGAACCTTCTTCATAATTTCGTAAATGATTATTCAGAGACATAAATTTCATTTTTATTTTTTCTATTTTTGAATGTAAAGATAAGTATTCCTGATATTGTGCATTAAAATCATTTTTATACCTAGTTCGTTGATCATAAGACAAAATTTTGGTGTATTTCCTAAAAGAAAAAAAATCATACAATAAATATTTATATAAAATATTTAGTAATTTTCTTGAAAAAATGAAATTTTTATATTTATTTATCATTAATATGTACGGATGCGTAGCCAAATTGTTCAACAAAAAAATAAGCACCCTTTAAGCACTTTTCAAGCTCTCAAATATTTTTAAGGACTTAAAAAAAATATAATTAAGCAGGTTTGGAAAGTTTCTGACAATTGACGGTTTTATCTGATTTTAACAGCCATATAAAAAATTTTTGAGTCATGTAAATCGAATGAAGTTTTCATACGCCGAACTAGATTGGGGTTGAATTAATTGTGAAAACGTTGAATAGAACAATGTGAACAGGATCTTTCTGCATAATTCGTTGTGAAAATCAACATGGTAAAGGAAAAATCTCAATTTCGAAAAGGGAAAATTAAACACGTTTTAAAAACACCCAATGAAAAAAGCACTTTTAAGGGATTTTAAAAACGCTACGTACCCTGATGTACTAAAAAATACTTATATAAGTTATACCATGGAAATCCAATAAAAAGTATATTAATAGTAATTTAATGAGCATTTAATATATATTGGCAAATCCATCTTTTAAGAATGTAGTACAGTTAAACCCCGCTATAATGAACCTTCAAGGGACCGAAATTTTGGTTCACTATATCCGTTATGCAGGCAATTTAACTAATGGTTCCCAAATTCCTCCCTTTTATAACACTTTATTCAAATAAATGACTGAAAAATATTATGTAGTAGCAAAAAATTTGTTATTTTTTATTACTCTTCGTCCTAAGTACAAAAAAAATAAAAATTTTAATCTTTAGCTGATGAACAATCCTTAACATCAGATATGGAAACACTTCCCGACTCTCAGATAATTTTTCCTGAATTTCNTTCAAATAAATGACTGAAAAATATTATGTAGTAGCAAAAAATTTGTTATTTTTTATTACTCTTTGTCCTAAGTACAAAAAAAAATTTTTTAATCTTTAGCTGATGAACAATCCTTAAGATCAGATATGGAAACACTTCCCGACTCTCAGATAATTTTTCCTGAATTTCAGTTAGTCCACTTTTTAAACTTGTCTAACCTGCCATTCGAGCACATAAAAGTAATCTCATAAAATCGGTTAGCAAATTCATCGACATTTGTTCAGATACCGGAAGATTCCGGCTTCTTTGAATGCTGAACCACTTCAGTAATACTTCTTCAACGTTCTTGTGATCTGCTTTTCTCAACTTTTTTCTGCCATTTAAGTTCTTTTCATGAGCAGAAATTGTTAATTGCCCATTTTTCCATATGTTAGGAACTGTAGATTTGGATAGTTTATATTCCTGCAAATATCAGCTTGATTACATCCATTTTCAATTTTTCTGATTATGTTCACTTCATCATCAATGGAGAATATTTTACGTTTACTACTCGACATAGTTAAATTTGAGACACTTGTTTGCAGTCCTTCTTTTAACTGCACTGAGAGCAAAAAGGAGTTGAAATTAGGGCCTTATCAACACATATTAGTGTCCAACTCTTTGACCAATAATGAATAATTACTCATTCCCTCTGACAGAAAATATCATCTGCCTGGGTTGGAAACATCTACTTGATTTGTTTAGGGATGGAAAAGTAAAATAAAAGAAGCATACAAGAAAAAAATACTTATCGCTACCTTACCCACTATAGATAGTTTTAAAAATCGGAATATGTAATTATTTTGAAGTAGAAATTTCAAAATTATTACAAAAAAATGAAGAAAAAAACCAGTCGAAGACAGAAAAAAGTTCATTATATCCAACTTCATCAATTTTTTGGTTCACTATATCCACAAAAAATAACATTATACGGGTATAGCAATGCAAGGGACCGAATTTTTCGTTCACTATATCCGGGAGTTCACTATAAACCGTGTTCACTATAGCGGGGTTTGACTGTGTTAGCTAATTTTAAAAGGCAAAGAAAAAGTTTTAAAGCTTTTTTGATGATTAAAAACTTATGAAAGTTATTAAAAATTGCAGCAAATGTAAATGACACCAAGACAAATTTTCTGAAAAAATTATTAAAACTGCTCAAATATTTTTTAACTGAGTTACATGCCTTTAAAGACTGCAAATACAACAATTATAAATGCTGGAATGGTCAACATGTAATCATATTTATTAAATATATATATTTAAACATAACACTCCTAAGAACACGATACAGAAATATTTCCTAACCAGAAGCAAAAAAAAATTTTTCCAGAAGAAAAACAGAAAACTTAATTGGTAATACATCACTTACGTCATATAGTCTGGAAGTTCAGGATCAGATTCCGGTGTAGTTGGAGGTAGATTTAGATGAACAAGATCAGGACCTAAAATGGATAATATATTTAATTTTCTTAACCCTTAANTTTGTGTTACTAGTTAAAGTAGTATTCTTTAAATTATCTATTTTATCTTGTCTTTTAATTTCAATCATGCCCTTGTATCAAAATGGTCGCTATGCATTATAATGAAAAATTATTTTAGTAAGTTAGAGCTTCTAAAATATTGTTATAATATAGTTTTAATATTAATTTAATTTTGATTAAACATTTATAAGATTTTTTTTATCATAAATTAAAGCTCTTATAGTGTTTTTGAATAGAAATAAAAAAAATCTGATTTAAATAAAAAAAATCCGATTTAAATCAAAATAATCCGATTTTTTTGATCTTTTTTTAAGAAAATCAAAAAAATCACGAACCCTGATTGTATCCCCTGGACCCTGGTTGAAAGAAGGTGAGTAATTTTTTCACGATTTCACAAAAACCGGATCTTTCACAAAATGTCAGGACAGACCCCTTTTTACGTATAAAAGATTTTTTACATTTCAATATAAAATGTGAAGAAAATACTTTTGATAAATTTGGAGCTTTTTTAAGGCAAAAAAGAAATTTCGAAATAATTCCGCAATTCAAAATAATTTAAATATAGTCGAATCTCGAAGTAACTAGGATTGAATATATTTTCGGAAAACGAACTGTTTGTAATCTCGTAATTTACCTAAGTAAATATTCATTTGGAATTGTTTTTACTATTTCTTTTTAAGTACATCAGTTAAAATTTAATATACTGCCCCTACATACACTAACACTTTGTTGGAAAAGAAGAGATACATCAATTTTTTCTCCAAACAAATTTTAATTTTCCTTATTTTAGCATTAATATTCTGCCAATTTATTAAACACTACTGCCAACAACTCTTTTTGCAGAATAAATAAATATTTTAACAGAACTAGTCTAATGAAAATAGTTTGAAATAGTAATGAAGAGTGCAATATTCAAAAAAATATTATTCAAATTTTATAAATATTTATGCCAAATGAAGATAAACAATATTTTTTTTTAATCTTGGTTAGTTTTAGCTATAAAGCAATACTATTTTTTTCACCTAAAATATTAGGAAGATCAAAAAATCCAAATAGTCTCCAGATCATGCTTATCTCTACAGATTATACCAGATCACTGATAAGAAACTATCCAACGTTCCTAATATTTGTTTTAAAATAACCAAATTGATAAAATTTTAAATGTTCTAATTATGAATTTATTATCTTTAAGTTAAATGCTTACTATCTAGTCGTCACTATTAAACAAAAAACTTTTATTTAAAGCAAAAAATTTTTTTTTGATACTTTTCCTTTCATAGTTTTTTCCAAGAATCAAGTGAGTGAACAGTCGTTCAGAATAGTTCCAGAAAATAGATTTTTCCAGTTTTCACTTTGTTTTTAAAATCTCAATATTTTAAAAAGAAAATATTTTGTGCTGTAAACTTCAAATCAAGCATTTCACAATCAATTATTGAAGATTCACCTGCAATCCCGTGTGGATTTACAATCGCATTTTTGTGAATTATAGTTAAGGATTTTCATAGCTTTTTAATGCTACATTATCATACACGGAAAGTTTCAAATTGATTTTATTGTCCACGAGGTTTTCTCAATCGCAATTTCAACAATTTGGAATTTCCGTAGTTTTTAAATTTAAATTTCATTTTTATTATAATATTTTCATGATCCACGAATTCCGAATCGATCTTTCGATAAAAATTTTGATGTGATAAAGCTCTGCAATATATGAATAGCGCAAGCATTTCTTGAAAACAAATAAATTTGTAAATAATCCTTGTAGTTAAAGGTAATTTGTTTTATACTAAATAGGTAAATAAAGTTAAAATTGCTGATGCCATCACTTCAGATTTCAAAAGTGTGAAAAATGAAAATGATAAATAAAAAAATAAAAACTCAACTTAAAATTCTGAAAAATTTTAAATTGTGACAATTATTAAAATGGGATTAAATATTTTTAAGCAATTTAAAAAATTATTTTTAAAAGGTTTTTCAATGAACATTTTTAAAACTATTAGGAGCTACTTTAAAACAAACACATAAATTGAAAAGTTTCAGCAATATAGGGATAAGCCACACTTTAAAAGAAAGAAAACTGTTCTTTAGTATTGTTAACAGATAGGTAATATACAATTTCCTGAAATTTCTATTCGATAGCAGCATGATAGACAGAAACATCTTGTCAATAAGTGAAGTTTTTGCAAAGAAAATAATAATAATAAATATAATAACTCTTAAAAAAAAAACCTCTCCAGTTCAATTTGAAAATGCGGCTTATTATATTGAGAAAAGCTCTTTAATTCCACAAAAAAAAAAAAAACAATTTAAAAAATAGCACGTTAAGGTAACTTACTATTTGCACCCAAGCTGTCATTGCTATCAGAACAAGACTCTGGAGAGTGAGGAGAGGTACTACAAGAACCATTGGTGGTAGAAGTTACTTTTGATCTGTGAACATAAGAGGATTGGCTAGAACTGTAACCATTCGATTTAATACTATTCACATAGCCATTCACAAGACTTTTTGAGCAAGAGTCACTCTTTAGTTCTTTTCCTTCGTATGGAGTGTTTGAGTCTGGGGAGACCTGAGCCTCAGGTTCCAGAATGGAGTCCCTAACATGACTTAGAGTTTGATTGAGGGAAGACTTTCCTTTCTCACTATTTACAGAGGTTTTAGAGTGCTTCTGATTTGACTCGTCCATCTCATACTTTTTCACAGGTGCTTTATGGAAAGGCTTTTCAGAATTTTTACTTCCTGCGTGAATCAGTCCAGTCGTGTGCTTGCGGATACTCTTCTCCCCGTCCTCCCTGGAGGCATTTCTTAAATTCAGACTAGAGGATGACTGTGAGTCTTCAAGGTGATTTCCTACTGGGTAGCCATCACAGCTATCTTCAGGGGATTTTGGACTTAGTTCATTATTTTGACTACTACTATTCATAGTAGAGGTAATAAAGGGATAGGAGCTCGTTCTGTTTGCAGTAGAGTTGAATTGAATCTTTTCATTAGGTTCTTTCTTTGTGTTTTGATTGATATCTGTACGGGGATAGGGTGATACCCTTTGTTTTTTGGAAGAAAAGCCATCACAGCTACTGCTAGGAGATTTAGGGTTGAAAATTTCATCTTGTTCAACTCCATTTGTACTAGGAGAATATGTGTCTTTACGACCCATGTTAGTTATAGTCAGATGGAGTTTTTCACTAGAGTCCACAGGTTCACTTTTAGCACTAGAACTGTAATTATCAGTGCGGCTGTAATGAGATATTCTTTGCTTCTTTGCACGAGGTTCTTGACCCACCGAAAATGTTTCGCTTGGTAATCGCTTCTGGAAATAAAATAAAAAAGAATTTGAACTCTTGAAAACATAGATTACAAATATGTATATATCCACTTGAAATTACAAATATTGAACTAAAATTTATTACATATTAACAATAGAATTTTGTCACAGAAACATTTGTAAACGTATGTCAAGTTTTTTCCACATATGAGAAAATAGACATCACTATTCGCACCGGTCTTTTCATAAAATTTTTAAAGACTAGAAAACAAAATTATTACCAATGTTCATGACCATAACTAATAGATATCCTTACTAAAACTAAACTCAGTGGCGACAGCCCATAGAGGGCCATGACCTTACTGTGTCCATCTCAGTTTTCTTGACCTTGGGCTCTGGGATGCAGGAGCAGATTAAGTTGTCAGCTGAACATAATATGACATAATCTTAATTCAGTATTGCCACCCATTTTTCCGAAACGCTAATAAATTTTGACATCCTACCCATTAAAAAAAAGATTTTTATCCTTCAAAATGTTTAAAAATATTTTTTTAAAAATTAATTCATGTCTTCCTAAGCTATTTAAATTGTGCAGAATGTAATGGCCAATACATTCCTCTTTATAATTTTAGTTTTACAGCAATTTCGATGAAAAATGTCTTAGATATGCACCCTTTTAATGTGTTTAAATTAACATGCACTTCCTCATCCTTGTTTTCTAACAATGAGAAAAATATGTTTTAAAATCAATTTAAGCAAACATAATTTAGATGATCTGAAATCTGCAATACTCATTATCTCAAAGTACCCAACACTACTGATTACTGACATTATCCTTTATTATCATGAAAAGATTTATAAGAATCTGATTTACAAAACAAAGGGACCTAGATTATTTTCAAAATTTCTACAAACTAAACTGAAAAGCATTATTTTGAGTTTTTTTTTTTTTTAAATTGCACAATTCTTTCAATGATTTAACAAATCCTTTTGCTGTTTTCCAAGTATTTTTATTTATTAGCCATTACTGCATTAACTAATTTGTTAATGTTTGTAATCGCTATCTGAATTTTGTGTTATGAAAATGTAAATAAATGGAAACACAAAAAAATGTAACTAGATGTTACTATAAGATTAAATTTATAAAGGTGTTTCAAAATAACTTTAATTATATTACAATTATGTTTAACATTAATGACATTTATGACAATCTCTGTTTAAGCTTTTATCCTTAAACATACATAAATATACATATATAAGCCTTATCACCAAATAAATCATGTGTATCAATACTAAGATTGCAAAGACAATACATGTACAAACATGTTAAAGGAAGAATTTGAGTAGGCACCATATTTTTAATACATATTGATACATAGTTGACAAATTTAAATTAACAGAATACCAAATTTTTTTTGGGGGAAGATAAAATTTAAACAACTTAGATTTTGTTGTAGAACAGATGTTTTAAAAGAATTATATTTGTTTTTTACATAAGCATATTTTTAATATGAATTGAACAGGGTGATGCAAATCAAAACACTCTAAAGTAAATAATAATAAAACAGAGAAATGAAGATTTGTCATGCAATAGGAAGCCTTTGACAAATTTAAAACATTTAACTAACCTGCGCAGGAGAACTACTAGGAGGTGTTGGTATAGGCGGTGACTCATTTGCTGCATTGCTTAAAACTTGTTGCTTTCTCCTGAAAAAATAATTATATTTTTTTAGTTTAGAACGAAACACTAATTTAAAATAAAAATATAATATCTAAGAGGAAAAAGAAGTATAATTTAAAAGATTATGTGCATTTCTTTCCAAATTGTTCCATTAGGTCATGTCATACGTAACTTTCATTACTTCGTCTAGCTTCTGTTACTTTAAACCAAAAGGTTTTGATTATGATTTATCCATAATTATTACTATTTCATGGTCAAGATTACAGAATTACTGTTAAGCATTAAAAAAAATTAGTTTGAGAAATTTTGTATTAACCTGTCTTTTTTCCCATTTCACTACAAAGAGTTATAAAATTTTGTAGTTAGCAACTAATCTGTGATATATTTTTCTACTCTTTGAATAATTCTACAAATAATAAATAAAAATCATTGATTCCAAGTAATCAAGTTAACTTTACCATTTTTTAACGAGGGATAAAATTCAGTGTTTTTAATTTGGTACCTTTGTGCCTAAGTGTTACTTTTTTTATTTATTTAGTAGTAAAATAATGCATAATTTTATTAATGTTGACTTTATATTAAGTCGGTATAATAAAATTATGCATTATTTTACTATTAAATCTATTATTATTCTATAATGTAAAAGAATCCTTTTTAATTCAAATTAGTTTTCGGTATTCACGTAATATCTTGCACACCATTTTTGTTAAATCTTAAAATAAATTTGGAACTGGTCCAAATTTGAATGTTTTTCCTGTATTGCATACATTAAGATACATGTGCATTTTGTCTATTTATTAATAATCAATTACTAAAAAAATATAATTTTAAAAGGTACAAAAATAAGTGACTCCGCTTTGGTGAGAATGGTCGACGAGATAATGCGTTAATCACCTCGTTTTTTCCAAGTGAGAGTTAAAGAAATGAGACATAGAATTAATCCTATAAAGAATTTAGTAGTATAGACACCTTAAAATTGTGTTAATATGAATTTTACTCATAATTGAACTCATAGCAGATAACTAGTTCAGATAGTTGGCACCTCTGCTTTAAATATTAAGTATACTTTCTTTCTAGAATCTTCTGTTAAGAAAAATATGCTGTATACCAATGGTTGCTATTTATGCAAAAGCTTTGAATCCTAGATATAAAGATCTACTCAAAATATGAGGTATTCTCAAAACAGGAGTTATTCACAAATTTATAAGAGTGGCAGAGAAAGAATCCTAAGTGCTACTCAATTTATAACATAAAATTAAATTTTAAAAATGACTAACCTTCGAATAATATCCAATTCATCTTGGGTAACAAATTTCCAATTATCTTGAACTTCATTCCAGCAATAATTGGCAAGATTATATACATTTCCTTTCAACAAACCCACTTGACTCAAAATAGCACCAATTCCTTTTCTATCCTTATCTCTGATACCCTCTAAATACGAAAAAATTCAAATATTAAAGAGATAAATTCATATACTATTATCCACATAAACTTAGTAACTTTGTTTATTAAATTAATTAGGAAGTAATGGCACATACAAATTAATGTTTCAGTTTTGTTTCTATAAGTATAAATACACTGGAAATATTGTACCATGTGTAAGAATATCTCCATTATATATTACTACATAAAATATTTTTAATTATATCTGTGAAGAAAAAAAAACCTATAACTATAAAACAAACGATAATAGCCGACTGTTCCTCACATAACCCAGAATTGCCCTAATCAGGAGGATAATTCGTCCTTAGAATACCAAAAATAAGGACAATACAAGAAAATTAAAAATAAATAACAAATATGGAAACATGTCAAGAAAAAGAATGTAAGAAAAATCAATGTTTTAAAGACCTAAAAAACATTTTTGAATTGGGCACTTTTTAATGATTTTAAGAAATAGTACAAAATCTGCTCTAACAATGAAAACAATAATAAAATAAGCTCATTTCTAAAATAATTTTTATTGATGTCATAAAAGAGATAAGAACCTAAAATACCATATTACATATAAATCATAAAATCTCTTAAATAGCATTTTGTTATGCACTAAATTTTCTGTTTATTGGGGTTTGCTTGTTTAATAAGGAAATATAACCATGTACTGGAGAAAGAGAGAAAAAGGAAGATTGTTATTGTTACATTTCTAAGAAAAAACTCTTAAATGATCTTTTTACGTATTTATATGAAGCTTAAACTTTTTTGAGCTTCATATTAGATTAATTTCTTTATTTTTAAGCTTAGGTTATAATTCTTTGTACTTCAGAAAAAATTGCATATTAAACAATCGAAAGTTTAATTTCTTAAATGTTTTCAATGGCCGTTTTAGAGGCAGTCTTCCTCGAGCTTTGACTAATGAGTCTGTGTTACCTGGAATTTTAACTTTCGTATTGTTTTAGAACTTATATCTATCAAGCTTACTCTCATTTCAAATACAGAATAAAAGGAATTTCACATGTTTTAGAGTAGAATTTGGAATTGCAACTTGTTATGCCAATATTTGACTTGGAGATATTTAAAAACTAAAAGAAAAGGAACTTTGAAACATGTTGACTTCATAAGAACAAAATTAAGTAGATTATTAGAAACATTTTATTGAATGAAAAAATGCAATATAAATGCAACCATAAATTTTACATAAAATAAAAAACTTTCTATTTTGAGTCTTTTTTCTTTATAAATTCAAAAATCCTTTTTATAAATACTTTCTGGTTCTTCTTTACCAAAAATAATTGATATAATATTATTGAAGCAAATAAATTGCATCAAATTTAAAATTGATATTTCATGAACGTTTAAAAAAAAATCTCTTAACATTGATAGTAGGAGGTCCAGATGATATCACAGCATTACCACACAAATCACTTTGATTTGTTAAAACTAATTATTCTTACTGAAATCGTTGAAAATACTTAATTGCGAAAAAAATCTGCCCTTGTTTTACACTTTTACTTTACTTTTAAAAAATTTCAAATGATTAAGCAGCAGACAGTTGGAAACACACACAAAAAAAGGATACTTTTCTTTTAAAAAAAGTTGATTTTTCCAGTGACAATAAAGACACAGTTAATTATATGAACAGTCCGAAATTATTATTATTTGAAAAGGATTCAATATAGCGGAACCACAGAAAGCTGTATCAATAATTTCTATAGGTAATAAAAGTATTAAATATATAATTAAAGCATTAAATGTGATATAAGCACTTGTCACATACATAGAGAATTCAAAATTTCTATCAATTACAATATCCCTCAGATTATAACAATAAGGGTACCTAGAGAGTTTTAGAATCAGACTTTTGGTATTTTTATAGATAAAAATAATTAAAACAGATTAAATTAATAAAAAATTAGACACCAGTTTCTGTTATTTCATGCACCAAATATTGAATAAGCTTCTCTAATATAGTTATAATTTGTGCAGACTATTGATAATTTGAAAAATTGTATACTAAATCACAGGCATAGCTTATAGTTTTGGTAAACTAAATTGTATAATTTAAAAATTTTAAGATAATTGTAAAATAATATTCTACTATATTAAAAGCTATAAACCATTTTATCATACAAGCCACATTAACAAAAAAAAATTTATTTTATACTAACCACTCATAAGTCTCACTATTAGTTCTGGTCGCTTGTAAGGTCGAATTGCTAGTATATGAATTATTCTATCTCTGTAACAAAATAAAATGTATATAATTTTAAAGGATTGTTTTACAAACAACAATTTTACAAATATTATTAAAAAAATTATTAAAACTAACCTTATGGGTTGACGTAAGAGTTCAGGACTAGAAGTAAAAGTTTTTTTAGGTTGTGGAGCTTTCTGAAACCGGTTCATTTCTGGTAATTTTTTTGGAGGAATACTAGGACTATTGTTGCTGTTATTTGAGCTGCCATTTGACATGCCATTTGTAAGTTTAATAGGATTTTTATTGAGCATTGTTGAACTAGGTGGACTATGGTGTGGTTTAACAGGGTTGACAATCAGACCTGGTCTCTTTACTTTCACTTTACGCCCTAAAAAAGTTATTCAAGTTTAAAGCATAATTTATAACATTTCCATAATAATACTAAATACTTAATTCATAAAAAATCATTATAAATAGATAAAGTGGTAGCAAATATTCAGATGATTTTTCAACAATAATAATAACAAAATTAACTAAGACAATGCAATTCATTATGAGGACCAACAAAAGATAATTTGCATCAAAGAGCGTAACTTTATTACATATTGCAAAAAGAAAAAACATTTGAACTCATATGAAAAATGAAAAGCAGCTATGAGTCTTATTCAAAAGAAGAGACTTGATGTTTTAGTCAGACATTTCTATTCATAATATTTAAAAAAAAAATTATAAAATAAATAAATAAAAAAAATCACTTAGTGTAGAAGTCAACAGCCGCCCTAAGACAAGAAAAATCTAACAAATATTTTATACCTTGCACCAAATTAATAAATCTGTAATATGTAAACACTAAATATGAAATTGAACAAACAAATTTTTAAAGTAGTAATTCTACATATCTCCATAAATTTCTTATATCTGTAGAATTATGTTAATCTATATAATTTGTATTGCTACTTTAAAAATCATACAAAACAAACTCATTTATTAAAGTTTCTAATTTAAAAAAAAAAAAAACAGATTACTGAAAAAGTTTTTTGTTGATTAAAACTCTAGTTAACTCAATGCACTGGCATTAATTAAGAAAATAATAAACGCAATTTTAATTTGAAAGTTAGATTAAAGAGAAATAAAGTATTGCAATTATAAGCTATTTATGTTTGTAAAACATAGACACATTTTACCAACTAAAAAAAAAAATAATAATAAATAAATAAATAAAGGTAAACTTTGAGCTATATATTGAACTAAATTACTCTGAATTATTTCATATTTTGAAGAATTCTAACTTAGCTAATGACATTTTTAGTATTAGCTTGTATTTTCTAGACAATATTTATAAAGGAGCTTTTAGTAAAATACTTAAATACAGTATACAACAGAATATTTGAAGATAGCAAAATTTGAATAAAATTAAATAAGATGAATTTGAATATATATATCTACATTATATAAAACGCTAATGCGTATGTATCAATAAAACTGATGATATTTATTTTCCCGCATTGGCAACAGTTTTCATTTTTAATTTATAGGATTCGGCGCGCAAGAGCACGTAGTGAGCATCATATGGCTAATCTATATTATATAAAACGCTAATACGTTTTAATTGATAGGCTTCGGCACACAAGAGTACGTAGTGAGCATCATATGTCTAATAGGATGAATTCTCTCCGAATTATCAAACCAATTCTCGCAAAATTATCTTCATCGAAGCCGATGCTTTACATCCGGCGTTCAGTACTATTTCATATTGTTTTACAACACATGGTTTTAGCCCTCTGGTGGGAAAGACTTTAAAACAAAACTTACAACAGTTACTTTTCTCAACAACTGAAATTTAGAATAGTGTGATTAAGAAAAATATGTGAACTGTTTGCAATTTCAAATTAATATTGAAATGCACAGGTTTAGAATTTTCTACAGTGAAAAGTTTTCGGAACTTCAGTGTTCAAAAAAGTATACAAAAGCTAGACGTTAAGAACGTATCCAATGAGCGAGCAAAGCGAGCATCGGATTGCGAAGCAATCCGAAATGAACTGCGAAAGCAGTTCCGGGGGTAGGCGAGCGCCAGCGAGCAGGGGGCGAAGCCTCCTAGTATATATATATATAAAAAAAGGAATTTTACAAATACTTACCAAGGTGAGCACCAGCAGGTTTTATAACTTTTGTGCTATAAAATGTAAAACACATATTAACTATTTTCATACAATTTGTAAAATAAATATTTTTTATTATTTTAAAAAATATATTAACAGCAATTTTCAGATTATAAATACAGTGTATCTTAATTTAAATTGAAATAAAAATGAAATTCAAAATCAAGATAAGTCAAATTTAACAATACATTAACATAAAGGCACAATAGCCATTTTTTAAAAAAAGGGTATCTCTGGCATTTAATATTTATGTAATAAAACTACGTACATGTAAATAGCGATTTTGTGTTATACTTTTATTGTTAACGTCACTTTTGAGCTATCATTAAAAAGCTATTAGCTATGGTCAGTAATTCCTTCTGGATCTTAATTAAGGAAAACAAAAAGAAATTTAAACAGATTTAATATTGCAAGTAACATCTAATGCAATATCAACAAATAGAATGCAACATAGTGCATAAAATATTTTGTACACAACATGTACAAATACATTTATTCACTTTAATTTTTTTTGAACAATAAAAATGTTTTTAAAGTAAATTACAAAAAAATATATTTTTAAATGATAAATACTAATGAGTTGAAATTTTATTAGTTAACTCATTAGCAAAAAAAAGGCGCCTTATTTTTAAATTTCACCGAATTTATTTTTAGTATAATTTTATAATAAAAATATACAAACTACAAGATTATTCATTTAAATTCAGTAATAATACAAAAAAAAAAAAAAAACTATGCAACAATGTTGCAGAAATTATGAGTAGATTAAGTGCACTAATATAGATAAACTTAATTTTTTTTTATATAAAGTATCACCAAGAAGCTTATTAAAGATATTTATTTCAAAATAAATAAACAGACAAAAAAACAGACCATGATTTGTTTTTCTCTTTCTCAACAGCAGCCATTTTAACTCTTGTATTTTCATAGCTGTCTTCATTAGCATGAATGTGCATTTTAAGGTGCATACATCCTAAAGAATCTAATGATCTATGGGGGAAAAAAAAGAAATTAAAGTTGTATTTTTCATAAGAAAATTCATTTTCATACTGTGATTAAACAGGTCTTAAAAACGTTCAATTGTAAAAATATTCCTTAACCCTCTCCAATTTAGTAAGCAAATTAAAATTGTGCTAACCTCAAGCAATACTTTTCAGTTATCAAACAGAGACTTTTCCTTAGTACCTTTTTCCCAATAATTCCCAATAATACAAGAAAACTCATAATTATTTAGCCAACTTATGAAACACAATAAAGTGTATACCTTAGACATCAGTACTTTTTTCCATAACAAAAACAAAAATTTATATATGTAACCAGTGAACAGAAGAATAATAGCTGTGAATGGTCTCCAAAGCAGTTGCCCTATCTATCCTGCCTTATTATGAAGAAATATCTGACTGTATAATTTTCTGGGTTTGATGGAATGGAATGGGTGTGGGAAGAAAAGTTACTTGGCTGGTAAGTCATTGATTATTCGGTAATGTACAATCTGAATCGGGGAGTTTTAAAATGCTTTTATAGTATGAATGGATTATCCATTCAATATTTCCAATGCAAATTCATTCACTTTTTATAACTTGAACAGCAGACTCAATTTTGGGTTTACGACTACTAATGTTCAACTCTGTAACCTCGTAATTCTGAACCCAATCCAGAAGACAAGATAACCCCTGGATCAAGTATTGGGTGAAATTTGTCCTCGAGGAGGACTTTTCAATGGAACTAACATGTATTTACATGGAGAAGAAAACTATGAAAACCTCCAAGAGATAGCCTGACAGCAAGGGGACTCTAAGCCATGATCCGTCTACCAGTGAGGATATTTTACGTCAGCACTGTGGTCGGCGTGAGCCGGGTGCAGAATTTGTATCAACCAGCCAGTGCTGGGATTCCAACCCGGATCACCTCATTGGAAGGCGAATGCTCTAAATTCATTAACTTTTTGAGTTTAAACAAGTCTTTAAAACTAGGGATGAACCGAATAGTGATTTGGCCGAATAAACAAAAATTCAACTGAATAGTAACACTTTTTTTTTCAAATTATAAATATTTTTTATATAGAAATACTTTTTAGACAATATTGAAAAATAATCAAAACTTTGCTGTACTATTGGTATGGAATAAAGAAGAAAAAAAACTTTAATAGAAATGTTTAGGATAATAAAGATAAGTAGATATTACAATGCTTAGAAATATTTAAGATAAAAAAAAACTGACAAACAGTTAAATAAGTATTAAAGTAGAAAAAAAATCTTACATCTTAAAACAAAACTTCAATGCTAAAAATATTTTTCGGGAATTTTTTTTTTCCTTCATAAAACAAATAATGTCAACCAGAAACGTTTGCTTTTATGCCAGCACTGCATTTTTATAAAGATTTTATACAAAAACAAAAAAATAAATTATACAAACTAATTTCAGAAAGAAAATTTTAAAGCTAAACATAGCAGGTTTTCCAATTATCATATTTTCAAGAAAAAAGTGAAGATTGAAATCTAATTGAGACTCTTTATTAGGTGTCATAATAAAAACGTCTATAAAAACCTAAGATTTTTGAAAGAGAAAATACTAGATAAAAATCGTTCTTAGTTTTGAAGGATAGAAAAAAATCAAAAGAGAAACAAAAATTTTTTTTCCTTAGTTCTGAACAATAACTTTAACTTTGAGAATCACAGTATTCTATGTTACTAGTTATCTGTTTTAACTATACAAAAAAGTAACAATAAAAGAATCAAGTCTATTCGAAACGTTGTTAACATACTTCGCTTTAGTTAAATCAGAAAAACAAAAAAGAAAAAAAAAGTTCCTAAATTTTTAAAATATAAAGTGCTGAAAAAACGATGTATCAACTTGCCCGAGGAAAAAAAAAAAAAAATTTTAATAATCAGCATCAAAAAACTAATGCTTTAATATAAAGTAATCTAGATTCAATTCTGAAAATTTCGCTTTTTCATGTATCTTTCAGAACATAAATTAACAAGCTTGAAATAGAACTTAATTATGTGAAAAAACTATTTCTAATAACATACATTAATAATTAAGATTTTAGAATATTCCTTAATAAATCTATTAAAATATCCCAAGAATAATTTTCTAAATAATACTTTGAAGAATATTCGGTAAAAGAGCCGAATACTGAATAGTGGCCGAATATCCATTACATTCCTATCAAAAACTAAAATATTTAAATCGCTTGCCACTTAATCAAATAAAATTTGTGCTAATCTGAAACAATATTTTTTATCGAACTCATACTGCGCAATGAAAACTAATACATACAAATTATATAGATCAGTTCTGTTGTAGTCTATGGCCTTTGATTGGTTTTAGAAATCAGTAAATTTTTTTTTAAGTGCTGAGGTACGTTACTTATTTCTATATCGCAGTTTTGCTATGAAAATAATAGCTGGATTTATAAAATTCCTCGGACATGATGAAATGCTTTTGAGGTATAACTGGATTATCCCTTTAATATATTAAACACGAATAAAAAAATAAAATAACTATGTAAGCTAACCTTTAACTTCATCTAAAAATGCTTTTTGGTATTTTTCTGTGATATTTACCTAATTGAGAAACAGCGTGGGCATAAACATTTGTAAAATGATAATTTTTCAACAAATTTTCCCAGCAAGATAATCAGAAGATAAGTTTTTAAACAAAATAATGTTAAGATATCACATATTTTACTGAATTTAATCTCAATTCAGATTAATTTAGTTAAATTAAAATCTGATCATTATTTTAATTTAACTGTTTATTCATTGTTTCTTTATACTTAAGATAAAGGCCTTTAAAATTCAATGGATTCACATTCCTACCTTGTCTTTGGTAAACATCTGAAAGGAACTACATGTCTTATTACTACAGGAACTACATGTCTACCTCTCTTATTTCCAGTCCGTTTTTTCGATTGTAAGAATAGTCCCAATTAAGGGTTTTCAAATAACTTTTAAACACTGTCTTTAACACTAGAGAGACTGAAACTTAGTATATACACCTATATTGCCCAAAAGCAGTCAAAATGACTGGATTGTGAAAAAATAACTAATGAGTAAAGAAATTTGCTTAAAATTATTTTTTATATTATTTACAGTTACATAACAAGTTATTAGTAAATATTAACAATAAAAAAAAATTATACATTGCACAAAATTCTAAGACATTGTGTCATTATATACATAAATGTGTTTTTCTAATTGAAATTAAAAAGCAGTTAAAATGACTTCCTTGGGCAATCTAGCGTTAATAAGCATAGATGGGTCATAGATTTCATCGTTAACACTTTTGATTGGTGGAAATATTTAAACCTTTTATTGGATTCTTACTCTTAACCTAAGATGATTGATTTTTTTTAACTTTTAAGGGAGTTGCATTTTTTTAGGACAGTCAAAAAACAATTTCTGAATTGACAAAGAAAATTAAATTGTGAAATCCCACTTCGTTCTTAATCTCTTACAGTATGTTTGCTTTATATAGAGTGCGTATAAAATTTATTAGTTAACTTTCCCTATTGATCTTTTAAAATTTAACAATAAATATGTTATGAATCTTGTTCATCACCACTAATTTCATTCTTTATTGTACACGGACATAGAGCTACATAGCAATAGACCAGGGTTGGAGTTTTTGCCGGCAAAAAGGGGTTTTTGCCAGGACAGTGGCAAAAACCTGGTAAAAACCGGCAAAAACTGGTAAAAACCGGCAAAAACCAAATTATCTAAATTGCTGATTAAATATTATTACAAAATACTTGAAACAAATTTAAATCAATCATAAGGAATAATAATTTTGATACATTACATGAAAAAATTATTTTTAACATATTAATAATTAATATAATGGTAATAATTTTTAAAAGATTGAAAGTTTGTGATCTCTTTTCATTTTAGAATCCTAAAATAAATGTTTTTTTACAAATAAATAAATATTATTATTTGTATAATATTATTATTTATTATAAAAAATTATTATTTGTACAATAATTAACTACACATATTGATAGATATTTTATGCTTTAAATTATAGTTATATTAATTTAAAATAAGTTCATTTCACTGGAAAAAAAAGAATAATCACAAATTTTCCAATCAATAATGTTTTAAACTACCAAAATGATATATTATTACATTATCATTTAATTATGGAATAATAATTTTGTTAATTTTTTTGTAATTATTTATATTTATAGTATATATTTCAATTTTAGGAATAATTTTGTATCAAAAATGTGTTTTTGTCCTCTCATCTTGGAAAATATAGGTTTTTGCCACTTTTTGCCAATTTGCTTGGCAAAAACCTGTTTTTGCCAGGACGGTTTTTACCGGTATTTACCATGGTTTTTTCCACCTGTGGCAAAATCTTGCCAACCCTGCAATAGACATAACTATTATATTCTTAAACCAAATTTACCTCTGCCCGCTTTGTCGAAGACATTCGAAGCTACCTTGAGGTCCATCTGCTTCAATATTTGCAAGGCTGAAACCATATGTTAGGGTGGTGCCATTATGTGGTAAGCTCAAGATCTAAAAATAACAAAAAATAAAATTTAAAAATAGAATAATTGCAGCTTTTGTATGAAAACTGGTAAAATATAAAGAAACCAACATGTACTGTGCGGAAATAGATAAATAAACGGTGCACCCTGAATAACTTTTGACCTAATATTTGGATTTTCACGTTCTAGGACTCAATCTTACTGGCTCCAGAGGAGGGATCTCAAATATGATGTGTAGACGATATTTTAAGTTAGGAAATTCGACACAAAAACGTACTTTCTGAATAAACATGCAATTTTTTCAACGAATTCGGATTTTTGACCCCAAAAATATATTGGTCCCCATAGTTTGGTCAGGAGAGCGTTCCAAAGTTTGGACCACTTAATGTTAATTTTATTTTTTGAGTATTTCCTCATATCTCGAGAATTTTTTACGCGCATTAAAACATTTTTGCACTTAATTATAAATTTGTTTATCCAAAGATAATTCCAGGCAAAAAATAAATTTCAGTAAATATTTATTATTTTTTATTATTTTTGTTAATAATAATTTAAAATTTTTTTAATTGTAAGATATACAATTTTTGCGCATCAGTTGAAAGAATGTAATTTTTCATTGCAAAATACAAAATTTGAGCAAAATCAGTCGAATAAAAATTTATGCTAGATAACAATTTGATTCATGGAAACAACTAATGCCCTACATAAAAATTGGCTAAAAATTATATTAGCCCAAAACCCTTAATTTACACATTACTTCTGAGCAAAACATTACTAATTTTTTATCTTTTTTTTTTCTCCGTATGTTTAATATCTAAAGAGCTTCATTTTAATAACATTTTACTACTGTATTATATCAACCAAGAAAGGTGTGTGTGCAACCAACAAGTGTCTCCAATTGTAGGGCTATTGATCATTTCATCAACAGTATGCCTAAATATCCATTTACTTCAACACAATTTGTTAATTTAAAAACTTGATAATTAGATTTTAAATTATGATCCTTGTCTCTCTTACAAGAAAGTAAAAAATATACATATCACATCTACATAATTGAAATTTTTCATTAAAAAACAAGTAAAAAAAATTATCTATCAGACAAAATATTAGGATTGAAACAATGACTAGAATAAGCTATTGACATATAAAATAGAGTCTGATGCTAAGATATTATTTTGTATTTTTTTTTTTTTAAATTCGCATTTATAAAATAAAAAAAAAAAATCATGTTTTATAAATTCACAAATTAAAGATTTCTAAATTAATATAGCTCAGCTAAATATTTCCGTGGTGACTAAGTCTAACATAATTTTATAAACCTGGAAGGTAAAAAGAAAAAAAAAAACATTTTTTTCCGTCAATGTTTATTGCAACAGTGTGTTATTTATTTCACGTATATTTATTTTTAATACTAACTGCAATTTTGCCATTAGCTAAATACCAAAACATAAAACATCATGGAATTAATATTCCATGGCTTAAAGCAATATTTAAAAAAAAAAAAAAAAAAAAAAAAAAAAAAAAAAAAACAATACTCTAGGAATAACTATGGAACAAAACAAAACGATAACGATTATCACTAAAAATTATAAACAAAACGATACAATTCAAAAATGCAGACGATAAAAAAGAAGTTCGCAACGTGACAAGTAAAGGAAATACAGATAGGAGGAAAGTTATTAACATTTTTTAATAAACGACATTTACGTTTATAAAAATAGAACCGAAGTCAAGAGACATAGAAAAAGAGCACAGATTAAAGGGAGGACGGTCAGGTAACAAGATTTCCTAAAGCGAGAAGAAAGTTTCCCCCCTTTTCCCTCATTCACTTGACTTAACCATCAGTTCAAATTCGGTTATTGCCCCAGAAATCGCCGAAAAACGACGAAAAATTACTTTTTCCCACAACAGAAATGCGAAGAGACAAAGTGAGAGCAATTACACTTCAATTCTTAAAAAAGCATTCGGAAATATAGCCAACGGCTCTTACATCAACGTCTTTGGTTAGTTCCACAAACCTCTTTTGAGGAAATAATGGAAAAAGGAGATGTTGAACACAAGAGAAACACGAAAATTCTTTACCAACATAATGGGTAGATAATAGACCTAGAAAATTTTAGATTTTGACTGCAAGCTACTGAAAAAATAACGTTTTGCACAGGATTTAATGGATTAAGGATGAATAAATTTATTACACCGGAAATCGTTTGAAATTAAGCACTAAGTAGGCTTCTGTTTCAGTTCCGTAGCTAATTATATAAGCCAGCACTAACTGATTATGCATATTTGAGTTGATCCTTTGTATATGTGTACCACATATGTGGACCTCAGCTTCTAATAAACACTTTAAGAAAATGTATAGTTTTACCTTTACTGAAACATTTATGGATATTTTATCTTTCTGAGGCTTTTGTAATAAGTTATTCTGGTCGAGATCCACATTAACAGACAGACAGATGTGATTTTCGAAAAATTACGCTAAATCCGCAAGCTGAAAAATGTATATAATTTTGATTACTATAAAATTTAGTTTTTTTTTTTTTTGTTTTTTGACTTAGTTTTCCGATCTGTATAAAGCTTAAAAATTTGTATTTACTTAATATTTTAAAATAATTCAGTCAAGAACATGCAGGTTCACGTAAGTGTACCTTGGTACGAATAGAGAAATTTATGACAGCATATAAGTGAAATATCATAGTATTATAAGCGTTCAATTTTATTCACCTTATTCTCGACCGCGTTTCATGTTCTCTACAGTGGGGGGTAGTATTTGTAGAGGTTGTTTCAACATTCGGTATAAGATTCAGGTAGAAGAATTTCTGCTGGTGTAAACCAAATTGCATCTTAACTATCATGTAATTGCTTATCAATTTAGGATAATTTCCCAAAGTACTTTTTTTTTTTTTTTTTACATCTTTAGATGATATTTTAAAATATGAAGGACACATTTTTNTTTTTTTTTTTTTTTTTTACATCTTTATATGATATTTTAAAATAGGAAGAACAAATTTTTTCACAAAAACACGGCACAAAAATCAAATTAAGAAAAAGTAAGTATTCCGAGTATATACAAACAAATCCGGAGCGTCAAAAAAAGAAATAGTCACTTTAATGTTATGACGTCAGAAGAGGACCTCAAGACTTCCGGAAGTGTTTTTTTTCCCCTTTTTTTTTAGGATACATATGGTGAATATCGAGTAATATTTTGATGTGTTTTAATAGTACTTCATATTAAGGCACATGCATATAATAACTAATTTTCACCTTTTTTTTTTTTTCCCCTTCCATAATTTTGAAATTTTACCCCCAAGAAATAAATATTTTTATTTTATGCTAGATTCTTTTCAAAAATTATTTATTTTGCGTCGTTTGCATAATTAAAACAGTTTTGAAACTGAGATTTAATGCAGTAATGCATTGGAATAGTATTNCTCCAGCCTGGGAAACAAGAGTGAAACTCCATCTCAAAAAAAAAAAAAAAAAAATCCCAAATGATTATTAAATTTATTCAACATTTTACTTAAATAGACCATACAATAACAATATGCATGTTTGTTCCTACTTAAGGTGCATTTTAACACTTGAAATACTTATATTATTTTACTTAGTTAATAAACTAAGTTAATAACTTAGTTAATAATTTCAATCAGTTAATAACTTTTAGGTCCACATACATGGACCTAAAATTATTGGTCCCAGGCAACATAATTCATTTTTTGTTTATCTTATTATGACAGTAAAATAGAAACTCGGAATTTTAAAATAATTCTTTTCAACATTCCTCTTGTACTTCAGTAGTGAAGAGGTTATATTTTCTTACTACTACAAACTAAACAAACATAAAAATTGATTGAATCAGTTATTAAAAAGATTCAAAAACTCATTTAGTTTTAAAAACTTTTTAAAATTATCTAATTTTATAATTATAGTTGGAATGTCAATAAAAATACATATAAAACTATATAACTACGTTAAAAATTGTAATGTAATACAAAACTATTTTTAATGGATTAAAAATGCATTATTGTTATAAACTACTAAAATAACAAACAAACAAAAAAAGGCATTGAAAATAATATAAATCTCTCATTTTATTCGCCTCATTGACATTCTTTAGTGAATGTACTCTAAGCTAAACTCACTAGACTATTTTAAATTTGATCCCACACATTCGGTTTCTTGGTTTTTCTTTTCTTTTTTCAAAATTTGTTTAATTTTACTTACTACAATCTGCTGGAGACCAATTTTTTTCCCACAGTGGAGAATTACGCGTCCTAGTGGACGCGTCATGACCTTTTTACGCCTCTCCTGAACGATTTTTGACACGTTGGATACACTATAACATCTAAGTGATATTGCTGAAAGCCTTTAAAGGATAACTAGCTTTCAATTTTACATATACTTAACGATTCAGAAATATGCTTGCCATATTAAAATAAAAAAGCGTTTTTGGAGACAATATTTTAAAACTTATGATTGAAAGAATTTCATTACAATCATGCTTTCTGGAAGGGAAAAAAAATCCATATTCAATAACTATTTCTTACAGACGTATAAGTATGGGGGAGGGGAAACCGTACTGAATTTTCACTTTGCTCTTGATTTGCATTTTCTAGAAAAATCCTTCAGAATTAGGATTGTTAAAACATCATTTTTTTAAAACTAAAACTCATCACTATAACAATGTATTTACAACAGATTTTAAAACATTGAATATAAATAAAAAATTTAAAATCTAATTAAATGCTTTGTAAGTCACATTTTTTTTTCTCAAAAAATATCATTTGATTTATATCACTGATTAAAAAAAAAAACAAAAAAAAAAAACAGATGATTTAATTCACTATTAAATATCATAGATAAATAAATAAAACTTAATGAAATGAAACTAAAGTAAACAAACAACATAAGTTGAAATCATCAGAAAAAGGCATTGAAACGAAAGGTTAAGCATAACCGATTGTAAGCGGTCAATTGATAAATACCATAAGCATATATCCCCAGTTATGCTGCAAATAATGCTTCGAA